GCAGGGCAGTGCTGGTGCCAGCAGGGCTCCGTGGGCCTCCCTGCCCTCACTCCCCACCGTGTCTCGTTGCAGCTCCGGCCTTGCCCAGCACAGTCCGGCAGCGCCTGGTGGAGCCGCAGCACGGCCACGGATCGCAGAGGTTGGTAGAGAGTCCCGTGCCGGGGCAGCCCGAGGCCGGCCCCGTGGCCCCGCTGCGGGCGGGCCGAGTGTCCCTGCGCCGAATGCACAGCCTCAGCTCCGGACAGTCCTTCAGCTCCGACCCGCCCGGCTCCACCTCCTCCACCTCCTGCTCCTCATCCACCACCACCGCACCTGCTCCTGCTTGCCATGTCCACCCTATCTATTACCATCACACCACCTCTTATTTCCTCCAGATGGATTCCATCCCCGACCTGCCCCCTCCTGATGTCACCTCTGGAGTTCGCTGTCGCACTGGGAGCTTTGGGTATATTGCTGTTTCTTTTCTAGCTGCCTCCTGCCTGCTGTGCCTCAGAGCTGGTGCTTGCTGGGGTGCTCTTTCTCTCACATTCCTCCTGCCCTTTTTCTCCGGGCCTCTATTCCATGGTTTATCCGCTTTTTTTCCTCCCACTGCTCTCCCGAGCCGCTGGAGCCTCTGAGGAGGATTCCGTGGGCCGTCCCCACTCCCACGAGCTCAGTGTGGGCCTTCCCAAGGTGCTCTGCTGTTGTTTTACTGGAGCTGAGCAAATGGAAATTCCCAGGTGCTCGGTATTCCCTGAACAAGGGGGTGTGAGGAGGTAACAGAACCCATCACCAAACCCGGCCTCGTTTGAAGCCTGGACCTCCCTGGGCTCCTCACAAGTGAATTGCAAAGGGAACAGGATGGGTGGGGACCACGAGGTAGCAGCTGGAGAAATTTGGGATGCCAGAGTGGCAGTTCAGGAGTGACTCCTGGAGTGACCCTGCCTCTGGTTTGGTAGGGATGAGGAATTGGGGAATTTTGGCTCAGGAATGTCTGAGGAGGGAGCTGGAGCTGCTTTTGTTTGCTTTAGCTTGGTCCCTTTCAGTTGGCTCTGGAGAGCTGGTGCATCCTCGGGACCGGTTATCCTCCATCCCTAAATCCCAGAGCTGTCCCAGTTCACCTCGCTGCTGACAGGGAGGAGCAGGAATCCCACCTGGTGCTCCAAGGGGGCTCTGCCAGGAATGCTGTGTGTCCCAAGCTCAGCACCAGGTTCCTGGGGTGGCTTTCACCCGAGTGAGACCCCGGATGTCCTCATCCCACGGGTCCTGGGTGCAGTCCCGAGCGTCCCTGCAGGTGTGGGATCCCCTGGGATCAGGGCAGGGGGTCTGTGCTCGTGGCCTCAGGTGTCTCCATGCAGGCAGTGGGAAGGCTGTGATGGACCAGGGAATGCTGTCCCTGCCAGGTTATTCCATCTCTGTTCCATGCTTTCTCCATGGCAAAACCAGAAACGCTCTCCTGATCCTCAGTACTGGGGAGCAGACTGCTGGGAGAAGGCTGGGAGTCTCTGGGTGAGGCAGAGGATGGGAGAAATGTCCTTCCACCATAATTTCTCCGGGCAGGGAAACATTGCCAGTCACCACATCTTCACCCATCCCAGCACGTTGTCCCATTATCCCCTTACCTGTGGGTCCCTGTGCCCTCAGGTGCTGGGATCTCTCCTGGCCTTGCTCACAGCCTCTGGTTTGGATGTTCCACCCCCTCCCTGCCCAAGCTGAGCAGCCCCAGGCACATTCTGGAGTCTGGAATTCCAAGGTGGAAATTCCTGGACCTGCTCCACAATGGAGAATTAAAGAGCAGCATCTCAGTGAATCCAGTAATGGTTGGTTGGGGATGATGAGAAGCAGTGTAATTAATTAACTCCTACCGCGGGAGCTCCATTGCAGCTGTCCCAGCTGGACTGGTAAAAGCTGGGAATGCTGCTGGTCCCTGCTTCCAGTGCCTCCCTGACTGCAGGAGGGAGAGCTCATCCTGGCAGCCTGGGGCTCATGTCCTGTGTCCAGAACAGCTGTTTAAATGTGATTTATTCCCACCTGAGGCCCGTGGCACACGGAATTCCTGCCCGAGTCCCTGCAGACATCTGAGGGGTCTGGTGTGGGGGCCCAGGGAGGGCAGGGGGCAGTGCCAGAGGTCATTAGGAGGGGATGAGTGTGGGCTGCCCTGGTCAGAGCCCAGCTGGTCACCGCTGGGTGCCAGCAGCTCTGTCCTCTCCCCACTGCCATGGCAAAGCCTGGCCGGTGACGCAGGAGAAGCGATGGAGTCAGAACCTCCCCCGTGGGATTTGCTCCAGCTGCCCCACACAGGCAGCTCCCCCCAGCCCACCCAGCCCTGCTCAGCCCAGCAGCAGAGATGAGGAGCTGGGTGCCCAAAGGTGTGGGTTTGTCACTTTTAATGGTTTTATCCAACTGCATCATTAGCAGATCCTGCTTTGATGCATCCCCGGGCTGATGGATTGCTGCTCCTCCTTGACATCCCCGGTCCTGGAGGCCTTTCCCTACATCCCTGGAGCTCCACAGCCTCCTGGGGAGGCTCAGAAAGGCCCTCCAGGGAGTCACTCCGAGGACCAGAGCAGAGCCCCAAAGATTCCTGGCTCCCAGGGTAGAAGGAATGTGCCACCCTGGTGGTGGGGGCTGCTGGAGCTCTTTAGCCTGCCCCACATCCAGCAGATGCCAAGGCTGGGCAGAGCTCACAGGAGAAACCTCTCCAAGGAGCTGCCCCCCGAGCAAGGCTGGGGATCTCCGGAGTCCTGCTGGGGTTGTGCTGGCAGGGAGCCGCTCCCTCACTCCTCACTCTTTGCTTCTCTTTTGCAATTGGCTTCAGAGGATCCGGCGCCAATAAGGTCAGAGCGGCTGCGGGGTCGG